GATTAAGCCAAAATATACTAAAGCCAATTAAATTTATTTGCTTAGTCTATTAATATTAATCAATAAGATTTTTAACAGATAGGTTAAATTTCAAAATAATATATAAACTAAAATCAAAGATTAAGCAGATAAGAAGAATTATTAAAATCTCTATATTATTGTGAATGAATATAAAAATAATTTAGATAATAAAAGTACATGATTGAATAAGTATTGTAAAATTATAAATTTAATTCATTATTTTATTAAAATAAAGCAATATTAAAGTGATCTTTATAGTGTTAGAATTAAATAACAATAATTAGAAAGATAATTTTAAAAGAAGGCAAATCTGGAAGCAGTAATGGATCTCTTATAACACTATAAGTTAGAGACATATTTGTGGAGCAAATTACGATAGCATATGCGCGAATTAGATGTCAGGCTAAGTGTTTATGTTGATCTGAGCTTTGGTTAACAGACAAATGAGCTTAAGATGAAAACATAGGCACATCTAAAGCGAACCAAAGATATAGTATCATATTTGTGGTCCTGGATAGAGAATATGATAAGACAGAAGAATGAGTACAGTAAATAATGCAGGATAATACAAATAAGAAATGATTGAGTTATTGATAAAATATTAAACATTATAATCAATTTAGTTTTATCATTAAATTAAATAAACAATCTTGCTATTAGATAATAATAAATTTTTTAAATTCTTGATTTTATTAATAGTTGATACATCAAATTTATTTTACGAGTTTTAATCAACAAGGTCATCGAGCGAATATTAATATTTTTTTATTTCTTTTGTGTTGAATAAATAGAATGATGTATTATATCATTTCTTTAAATTATAATGAATTCTTATAATATTGTTACAATTTGAGCAATAAATAAAAAATTATTTTATTAAAATGGTGGAATATAAATTAATAAATAATTTAAACTATTAATTGATCTAATTGATTTTATTCCTTTATTCTAAGTGTTTGAATAATTAAATGGTAAAAATAATTGTTGTATTTTACTTAATGATTGGATCTACTAATCTTTATATTTAATCTAGAAATCTTATTTAAAATTTATTGGTGTTTATAAAAGTTTATTAATAATTTTTAAGCCTTGATAAAGATTCAAAATAAATTATTCTGCCTGTAAGATGAGCAAGATGTCTTAATGATTAAAACATGCTTAAATGAATTTCCAAAACATATTTCTAATAAATTTTACTTCGTATTAAATGAAGTATCCAACTGATAATCTTCCATAAAGCATAATGACTAAAAATCAAAATTTTATAATCGAATCTCATAATTCAATTTTAACACTTATAAAAAAACCTGAACATCATTTTTTTTCTTTTTAGTAATTAGTAGGAATATTTAATATATGGAATAGATATTTTTTTTTGAAACTTTTTGGTTTAATTCTTCTTTTTATAGAGGTATGATAGTATTTAAATATCTAGATATTATTAAAATGGCAAAAAGAGTTTAAATAAATTATAAAAAAATATTTAATGATCTTAATATTCTGATATTTCTTGATAATCATTAATTAATCAATAAAAGGAATTATATATATTTCTTCACTTAAGGGCTTCGTAATCAGTTCCTGATAAAAATTACTGTGAAAGTTTATCAAGCTCTTATGTCAACTACTATAAATTTATTTTCATACTCTATCAAATATTTGATTAATATTTTCAAATTGTTTGTGTATGTTTTTAATACAGACATCATCCTTAAATAGGTCAAATTCTTCTTTACTTAATGGGAACACATCCATTCTTTCATTTTCTTATTATTCGTATTGGTTCACTAAAATTGGTTGTTATGTTTTTTATTATGGTTATACTATTAGTTGTGTTGTTTATTTTGGTTATTCTGTTGGCTGTGTTTATGTTTGATTTATTAGACTGTATTGCTGTTGATTTTTTTATGTTCTCGAAGAACAGACCCCCATTAATTTTTATTTTAGTTAAAATATTATGATCTAATTATTAACATTAACAAGGCTTAAAATATTTAAACCTATTATTATATAGTGTAGATATTCAAGTCTTTATGATAAATAATATAGTTAATGTTTTCATAATTGTTCTAAATTTTAAGGACCTTTACTTTATTAATGGATTAGAATAATTTGCAAACTTAAATTTAAATTGTATGATATTACTACTAGGTCATCTAACATGATAGGTTGAATCAAGGATTAAAATCTAAGCTTTATTTGTTTATTTTTACTGCCATAACACTTTTTATAATCAATTACGTGTATATTTAGTGTTTTTTAATAATCTACATTTGTTATTAAGCAAATAATAAAAAATTAATAAGAAATATTAAAGTATTTTCAATTTGAATTTGAATTTGAAGACCATTACATAGTCAATCTAAGTAAAAATTAAAATTCAATAAGGAAAAGAAATTAAAATAGAAAATAATAAAGAACTGTAAATAATTGTTAAAATTCATTCCAAAATAAATAGAATAAACCATAACTATATGTATATTATTAGATATTAAAGATTTTTTATTAAATTTTAAAATTTCCTAATTTTTAATAAATATCAAATTGAAAAATAATTTTGCTTGAAAAACTAACTGATGATTCTTTTGGCTATTATTATAATTCTCATGATTATATATTTTACATTGAATAATTAGCCATGCTCTTTAAAACAAGCTGAATTAGATTTTGATTATCAGTTAAAAAGTATTGTTCATATGATTATCTACATAAAAATAGATTAATGTATAAATGAATAATGTATAAAATTTTAAACATCATATGAATCATGTTTTGATTAAAACACTTTTAAAACCTGTAATGATAATTAGACTATGAATAATCTTGGAATATGTATTTAATGCATTTAAAATTGCCGAAATTGCATTGATTTCAGTGTTATTACTTGTTTTGATAAATTTTATTATGACAATTAATCTTGTATATTAAAGGATATGAAAATTAAAAAAAAATTTATTTAATTGGGAAGGCTTTATTGGAGTTTACTTTAATCTTGATCTATTGTATACAAAATTTTTGGAAAATAATAATTATTTTTTATACCATATTCTTATAAATTTTAGACATGTGAAAATGATTCAAATTATTGTACTTCTTGTAAAATAAGATTCAAGCATAAATAGATTCTTAGTGTGCGAAAGCTTACCTTATTGTACAAAAAGTAGAATTATCAATTAAATAATAATCTTCTAAACAAATATACATTGATCTATGACAAGATTTACAATTGTATCAACATTAAATATATCCTTAACAAGATATACATTAACTATTACTAAGAATTAGTTCACATTTACATTTTATAAACTCTATTTCATTTTATTAGCTTACATGGAACCTTTGAATTGATATTAACAGCATTGTTATGATATTTAAATGATTCTGATGTGGTTCTTCATTTTTAAATTTTAATTCTACTATAGTACAAAGATCTATCTTTTTCGAACATTAACATATCACACAAATCTTTTAAATCAGTGAATTTTTTTAGAGAAATTTAGTTATTTATTTTAACTAATAAATGTGTTATTTTCTTTATATCCTCACAACTTTATTATATCATTCCTTAGCTCTATAAGTTTTGGTTTAATTTTTACTCCTTATTGCTTATGGTGAATCATTAAGTAATTCTAATTTTTAATTGATTTTCTCATTACTTTATAGAAGCTTATAAATAAAATAAAAGAATCAGTGTGATAAACCATTTCCAATTTATTTTCTTATTCTAAATTATTACACCAATTTATTAATTGGAAAAAAACTATTTTAAATAAAATACAATGAAAATTTATTGGATCTCTTTTTTAGCTGAAGCTCACTTTATGCTAAAAACTCCCAATGGATGCAATGATTATAAATTAAGAATATAAAAATTGAGCATCCTTTTATTATATAACTAATCAATATTTAATTACTCTATCAACACTCCTATTTCCGATTATTTTTCCTAGAATATACTTGCTTAATATTATAATTAGTTGACTTTTTGATAAATATTTTTCCCACACCCAACCATCAATATAGGATTAAGGTTTTATTTAACCTATCATTAATAAAAAATTTCTCTTATATTGTAGTTAGATTGTTTTGTTGTAATGAAAAATATGATTGAAGGAGCTCATTTGCTTAATATATAGGTTAAATTAGTTGAATAGCTAAATAAATTCATATTTAATATTAGAATAATTTATAATTAAGGTCATTAATTAATCCAAGTCTTAAGTTTTTCTTTCTATAAAAACAATAAATAAAAATATATATAAATCCTATAATTGATTCCTGCTTCTTTTATTTTTCACTGAAGAAAGCAAAAACTAAATAAAAATAAAATATGCTCTCTTATGAATTGTTCTTTTGTCATTTTCCACAAGTATATTATAAATAAACGAATTTTAATTGGTTTGTTTATATTTTCATCAAATCCAACAAAAATTCATTTTTAATTTAAGAACCATTTTAGTTTTAACCATATTTAGAATTCTTGTTCAAACTGTTCTCTGAAATCAATAAATTTCTGATTTACCTTTGATATCACCTTTATTTAAAGAATAATAATTATTGAAAAAATAAGATTTCTGTGTCTGATAAATAGTCTTAAGATTTGGAATGGTTATTTGAGAAAAAATTAAAATGCTTATTGATACTTTAATATGACAAAATAATAAATAATATTAAAAGTTACAGTTAGAAAATTTATTATATAAATAAACACCATTTTATTTACTTCAAACACGTGACTCACTCATTAAAAGATATATATACAGAACTCAAAGTTGGAATCTAATATATTTCGATTGTATGGATTATATTCTTCAACAATAACGAAAGCACTATACTTCATTAATAATAATAATAAATAACTTACAATAAAGATGAAAATAATTACTTTTTAATACGAAGATGCTTAGTATTTTTGTGGAATGTATATATGAGATACCCAAACCTAAACAATTAGAATTATGATATTATAAGTAACAAAAGTTTTTCATTATGAAGTACTCAAAAAATGTTTTTTTTGAGCGAAAAATATTACTAAAAAGGGAATATTGGTTTATTTTCTTAATTTTATTTTCTTTTCTTTTTAAGATAAATTGAAGTTTTTAGTATTAAAATAAATTAATCTTTGTCATTAAAGATGTTTTTGATAATTTATTATACAAAGAATGAAGAATTTGTAACTGAACACATTTATATTTAATTGCTCAAACAATAAACTAAATAGAGCAAACTAAGCCTAAATAAAAATTTAACTCTAAAAGCTCAGTTAGGTTTGTAATACTTAAGCTTTAAATAAATTGTTAATTTCAAATTCTTTATTCTTAGAGTATTTATATTAAAATTAATAATAATGGCGTAGAATCATTTAAATTAAAAATAAGCTCTT